AAAAAATTCACTATAATTTCGATCGAACGAAGCTCTTAACTCCAATTTTTTTATTCATTACAACAATATTTTCGTTTGCGAATTCATAGAGAAGTTATTTCAATTTATTTCAATAGAAATGTTTTAGTTGAATGAAACGACTAAGTCATTTCATCCAAATGAAGGATCACTACATGTTAATAAATCCATTCTCTTCGTCATCCGAGTAATTATCTCAATTTTGACTCATAAAGTTGTTATTTTAATGAAGAGAACCTTTTTTTTATACAGAAAAAACATGAAATAATTTTCATATAAAAATTTCTTTCAATGTTGTATTTTAAAAAATTCACTATAATTTGGATCGAACGAAGCTCTTCACTCCAATTTTTTTATTCATTACAACAATATTTTCGTTTGCGAATTCATAGAGAAGTTATTTCAATTTATTTCAATAGAAATGTTTTAGTTGAATGAAACGAATAAGTCATTTCATCCAAATGAAGGATCACTACATGTTAATAAATTCATTCTCTTCGTCATCCGAGTAATTATCTCAATTTTGACTCATAAAGTTGTTATTTTAATGAAGAGAACCTTTTTTTTATACAGAAAAAACATGAAATAATTTTCATATAAAAATTTCTTTCAATGTTGTATTTTAAAAAATTCACTATAATTTGGATCGAACGAAGCTCTTAACTCCAATTTTTTTATTCATTACAACAATATTTTCGTTTGCGAATTCATAGAGAAGTTATTTCAATTTATTTCAATAGAAATGTTTTAGTTGAATGAAACGAATAAGTCATTTCATCCAAATGAAGGATCACTACATGTTAATAAATTCATACTCTTCGTCATCCGAGTAATTATCTCAATTTTGACTCATAAAGTTGTTATTTTAATGAAGAGAACCTTTTTTTTATACAGAAAAAACATGAAATAATTTTCATATAAAAATTTCTTTCAATGTTGTATTTTAAAAAAATTCACTATAATTTGGATCGAATGAAGCTCTTCATTCCAATTTTTTTACTCATTACAACAACATTTTTCTTGCGAGTTCATAGAGAAGTTGATTTATTCTAACAGAAATGTTTTAGTTGAATGAAATGAATAATTCATTTGACCCACATGTTAATAACCTGATTCTCTTCGTCGTTTAAAAAAATGAGTGACATAAATGTGAGTTTAATAAAAATTATTCGTTTTCTTGCAGTATGTATTCAACTCGAGGGATCCTATTGTCGTGGGTGTGATGGTCGAGGCTGGAATCGTCAAAGAGGGAACACCAGTTTGCGTACCCAGCAAGGACGTGAGTACACGTTTTTATTTTTTATTTCAAATGCACTGACGATCCTGTCGATACGACTCGGCCGGGGAAGGGGCGAGGAGGGGAGGAGGGGGGGGAGGGGGGAATGAAAAGTGGAAAAATTTCAGCACTCTGAACGATTGGAATAAACGTATTCAGTGCGCCCACCAGTTTCTGCATTTGTATATGGTTCGCTCGGTACTACCCTCGATCGAGATATAATGCCACTTCAAACCCACACGATATATTTTAGTTTCAAATTGACAATCGCGAAAGGCTGCACCACCCACGTGTCAAAATGTGTGCTCCTTCTTTTTCGGATTATTTCGTTGATTTCTTTTCCGTCGGCTTTTTACGGTGTTTCGTGTGCGGAAGGGGCATCTCGTTGATCTCGGCGCGAAAATTTTCAATTTTCAAGTAGGGTAAACTGCAAAGTAGATGGACGTTTGTTTTTTAGGAATTGAAAAAAAAATTGATCGAAAAAAAATCGTCACTCAGGGGTTAAGAATCACAACAGTTAGTGAAAATTCAAAGCAACAACTCACATTTCAGTATTTTTTTGCGCAATTTCCTATACAAAAGCAGCTTGTCCATCTATAGGGCAGTGTCCATCTACTGGGTAGCTTACCCTAATCATCCTCAAAGACATTCAAATATATTTTTTCACTCGGGAAAACATATACTCCAGCTCCTTTATCTCTCGGAATTCCGAGAGATTGCAGATTGGTTGGGAAAGAAATTTTAAAAAAATAATAATTGTAGAAAAATTAAAATAAATATGAATTTCTCCGGGGGAAGGGGTGACACGGAAGGAGAGTCTCATTGTGCTCGAGCCCTGATTCAATCCCTGAACACGAAAATTTTCAATTTTCAAGTAACCATTTCAGTGGGAATTTGAACATTTCTTGAATATTAATTTTTCTGCCAGATTGATTGATTTTTTTCTCATCACTTACGAGTGTCAAATTATTTTTATTGCGTGTTATTTCGAGTTGAATGATAAAATACAAAATTTAAATAATAAAATCATTGTCCGGAAAGTTGGGGTGAAATGAAGCTCAAATGAAAGCTCCGACATTCCACTACAAAAATAGAAAAGTATTTCACTAGAGAAAAAATATTTAATTATATTTATTAATTATAATATTATATTATTATTACATATATAATAATATATTATATTTATAATATTAAACATATTTAACAAAAATAGGAAAGTATCTCACCAGAGAAAAAATATTTAATCAATTATTTCTCGGATTTTTGAAAATGTCTGTTTCTTCCGCGTCTTCACATCTTCAAATATTCCGCGATCTCCCTTCTGATTACTATCAATTTTCACTTTAAATCTCCATAAAATTATTTTTCCAGTTCACTTTCCCCATCGGACCCACCCAATAAAAAAAAAAACTAATGGAAAAACCATAAAAATCATGATTGCTTCTGTCCCTCAAGATTTCCCGTGTAGGTGAACCCGTCCACCGAGTTCTTTCGATACGACGATAAAGTCGATAGGAAGGACTTGGAAGGTGCCCCGTAGGAGGACGAGGTTTTTCCCCCATGGGCCTAACCAACATTAACGACGTAACTACCTGGCTGGCGCAGTGTGGGCGTCCGGATATTTTTTCCTCCTCCCCCTTTTATTCCGATCTCCTTTTAAATTTCACTGCAACAAGTAAAAAATGAAAAATGAGAAATTGCGAGGAGAGGAAGAAAAAAAATGAAGCAGTTGCGCGCCGGCAATTTCGCCTGAAACCAGATCCATTAAGGTTGCGAGTGAGACAGGAAATCAGTGGACTTTTTGAGAAGTGAATAGTTTCATTGATGAAATTTAATGGATTTTTCGATACAACTTGGAGCGCTGAAAAAATAACCATGAAAATATCAATTACGGGAGATTTAATGTCCAGGGAATGGACTTGTACCACTCCTAGTGCCCACAATGTACTCGTGCGGTTGTGCGTGTGCGTTAGGTGGGATGATCGTGAGGTTTATTCAGGTTTTACTCTGCTCTTTTGCCAACTAAAACGTTGGACAAAGTTGAGAGAACGTCTGTGGACGTATAAAACGAACGAGGTGGCCGGGGGGAGGGGGGGGGGGG